AGCGTTGTAAGTCCGCAGACATACCGCTGTGCCACTGGGAAGACGCATTGAGTAATACTATAATTCGAGGACGTTGTGAGCTAGAGCCTATGCCACAACCCATTCATATTTCTGTTGCATACATTCTAGTTTTGCACCTGCGTAAAGTAGCACTTGATAAGACAGAATACCCCCACCAGCGCCTTTTCCCGACGAATCATTCCAATCATCGCTTTGATAAACAAACATTAGACGATTGTACATCTTCTGAGATTTTAAAAATCTGAAGCAGCAACACTAAACTGTAACACCAGCAAGTCATTCACTCACGAAGCGAGCACGTGTAGAAATGGAAATTGTAGATGGAACGTTTCTATTTCTGACAGCTCTAATCACTAAGCATTCACAAAACAAAAGTGTAGTGGTTGTGAGATTAAGTTATTCAGTTTCTTTCAGTGTTTATTTTTTACTATGACCTCATTCATTTGCCTTTTCATTTGAAATTCCTATGTCGTGTCTTGCATTGTATTATGTTTCAGTTTCAGATTTTAACTTCTTTCCTTGCTGGGTGCGTTAGAAAAGTGACAATCAGTCACTTAGCGTGGGTAGTGGGCGATAAGGTGCTGACTGGCTGCCTTCCCTCTAATCATTAGTGAAAAATTAGTGACACCAGCAGATTGCCTCAGTAGTTTTGCCATAAATACAATTAACAAATAACTTCCCTGCTTTTTAAATTAACTTAAACAAGTCATTTATCACTTCCTTACTAATGATGCTAGGTTGACAAAATCAAAGACAAAAATATGAAACCCTACAACCCGAGCGTTTTAAAAAGGTGAACATTTCTTTATCAGGGGAAACTTGGAACCCTTTCCCATTTTGCCCCTGATAAAAGAAAGGTCCACCTTTCAAAAACGAAAGGTTTTTGCGTTTCGTATTTTTGTTCTTACTAATATATGTAAAAAACGGGCGTTCAAAAGGTTACAAGTAGTTTATATGTATATACATATAGTTAAGTAATATTATAGAAAATATTTAAACACTTAAAAATACGTGTTAAGTTAATATTCATTCAAACCTATATAATTACTAATTTGTTCGTTTGTATGACAGTTTTCTACGAAATCACTAGTGTTATTCCCAGAAATAATTTCTAACATGATCAACAGCGCGTCCGGTTTAGTAAGCTCTTTACAATCATTCTAAATTCCCTTCACTACTTATTTGCCATTTTAGTATATTGAAACAAGATATGGAATTTTTTTTTTCAAAAAAAGTTGATTGCATTTTATTTTGTGTGTGTTTTTAAAGTTGAAATTTCACTGTCTTCAATCTTTTTCTTCGGTCTGACGTATTTTCGAAATAATTTTTTTAAGCTAGTATCCATAAATTAAATATTTCTTTCTTATTTTAAAGCAGATTCCTTTTATACCAGAAACCCTAAAAACAGATGGCTTGTTAGGAGACCCACTTTTGCCCACTGTTAAGACGACAATACCACAGAATCAAGCTCACAAACCACCTCTTCTCAAGACAAGGCACGTGTTTGGACAAATCAGTTCCAGCGCAACGGCAAGTGAAGAATGGAGTCAAGTGTCTAATCTCGAAAGTAATGATGCGATCACGCGCTCGATTATATCAAACAGCGTACTTGGCGTTGGTGACCTTGACCCGCGCATGAAGATGATGACGGTAGACGACAGACGTTATCACACGACGAGCTCTGCAGAAATACGAAAGAGAGAAAAAGAACGGGACAGTAGGATTCATAAACGATTCTCATGGAACAGTAGCAGGCACAAAGCTGAAGTAGTTGGTTTCGAAGCCAGTGATGACGGAAAGCTGGATAAAAACACGTGCAGTTCGAAGTGCCTAAGTTCAGATTCTATCTATAGCTCCAGTGGTATAGAAAGCAGTAACTCTTCGTTTTATAGTGTGGGAGAACAGGAATGCCCAACGGAATCGAATGTCTGTAGTCCTGAGATCTTAAATGATGGTGATAGAGACAAGAATTATGGCAATAACTCTCAGTTACCCAAAACTTCTAGTCCAGATCTGGAACCTAAACCTAACTTCACACTGAATGTCAGCGAGATGATGGATGGAATTACATCTGTCCAGATTAATCTGACTGGTGGATCCAACCTAAGAAATAAAGTTGATCTGCGGCGGATGAAGGAATTGATTTTGAACAGCTACTCAGTTGAAGCTTCGTAAGTTGTGTGTTCCTTTTTATTCATATAAATACTAAAATAACGGTAGAGACAAATATTTATATTGAAAAAACGGCTAGATAATAATGATTTTGAATTCTCAAACAATATTTCCGAATGTATGAATGCTACAAAAATAGAAAATTGGCAGATATCTTCTTCTTTATTTGTATTGCAAGAAATTGTTTTAATGACAATATTTAAAACATTATTTCTATATGATTAAGTGTCTTTTAATTTTGTTTCTTTTTTAGGGAAGTGTGATGGAAGAGAAGTAGAAGGAGGTGTAATTTGAATCTGCATTTTACTCGATCGGTAGCTACTGGTAAATGGAGACCTCGAGCAAAGTACCCGAAGTGTTTAAAAATGTTTTTTATGTGTGTTGTGAATCAAAGTGTTTTTACCAAGAAAGGCAGTGGAAAGTTTTTAACAACCTAAAGTACTTTTAACTTTTCGTGAACCATATGAGTAATAAACTTTTACATAATTCGTCAAAGAAGCGCAGGACTATGTTCTAAGTATTGTTTATAAGGTTCAAATAATACATAGAGAAAAAATTATGTTTTATCTATTGTTAATGTATGCATTCCAAGATATGGCACCTGTTGCCATAGCAGCCTACAGGCAGCTGTGTGTTGTCAAAACAAAAAAGTGGCCACACCCCTCTTTATCTAAACTATGAATGTGTATTTATTGTTCATGGAAAAAAATCCCAAAATAAGTGCAACACTTTAGAAACTGTTGTATATGTAGGTATTGAGCACTAGTGTTTTTGTCTGTGATTGCTATATACAATCTTCGTATTGATTATACAGTAATTATGAAAGAAGTAGTTGTAATTCTTAAGTTTTATGTACATCGTAATACGTTGTACGTTCGTGTTTATACAATAATTAATTTTGAGCAGTAACTATGTAAGTCAGAACTAAAAATTAACTCGGAAGTTAATGAATGGATGTTACCATAAGCTTTTAGCTTACTAAATTTTTCTTCTAGATTTCCATCAGTATATACGAAAGAAAAATAAAACGTTGATCAAATAGCCATTATTATTGTTATTCCTTAGTATTTATGGAAGCTATGATAATTCAAATTTATTAATCTAAAAAATGTAAATTAATGTTTACCTTTCACACAAGTTCTTGTATCTCACTTGGTGATGCCAGGTAAACCTGGTGAAACGTTGTGAACAAAATATACAAAAGTTTTACTACATACGACCGATAAAAAACTTGGGTGAATTTCAAATAACATAGTTTTAATATTTTATTAATGTTTGCCTATATTTAAAATTTAACTGATGCTTATGTTTCCTAGATCCGATTTTCAGTTTCTGAAGTAACCATTAAACTTTAGTTTTAGTCACTCTTTAATAATAATAATAGTTTAAAACCAGTATTTAACATTGCTGTATTGTTAAAACAGTGTATAAGCGTATTCAAACTTAAAATTGAATTATCTTCTAGATGGCGCTAGTCAAAATCTATTACTTGTATGGATGTCAAGACTTACCTGTTTCATCATATGGTATATAGTTTTGTGTATGTAAATATGTTATTATATGTACGTACAAGTTTATTTAATACCTGGGTATTCTTAGTAATATATGTTGATGTATGTGTAATATATATATATATTAAAAAAACGTATAAGAATAATTTTTAGGGACAATCACTAGTTTTCTTGTGAAAGTTGTTTCGAAATGAAGTTCTGATGTAAAAGTATTGTATGGTGTTTGGTTTATTGGAATCAGTTGAGCTTTTGCTTATGTTTTATATCAGTATTATTTCACGTCATATTTCAAGCAAACACTGAAGATACTCATAACAATATCTATGTTGCTGCAACCAAGTGTCAACATTACAATAATAAAATTAAAATTCTTGTTTCAAAAATCAAGTCTGATTTGTTGCAGTTATACCTAAATTTTAAAAAATACATAAAATACAGAACTGAAGTCTGATGAAATATCCAACAAGTAAATAAACATATAGAAAGCAAATGGACTCGTCTCTGACAAAATCTGCGATAAAGAAAATTAGCTAGGTTCTTAAAGTAACTTGTATGAGAGTCAACAATTTTCATGATACAATAACATAGTTCTGCAGCTCAGTCTGTATAAGCTCTGTACTATTAGGAAAACAATCTTGTATACGGACTTTAGTTGTTGTTGTTTCATTTAATAACGTATGAGAAGAATGCCAGAGCAGACTGTTCTTTAGACAAAATGGTACAGTTTATCACAAGACTGTAACAGCCTCGCAAAGAGAGAAATGTCCATCCAACGATCCCTTGAATATTTTAATGGTTTCTCTTTGTTATGTCACTTTGAACACTGCATTGTTTTATCATTTAGTTATATTTCCCACTTTAAGTACAAAATGCAATTATAATAACATTTGATCCAAACAGGCTACCTGCACAGATCAAAACAATATATGAACCTATAGTAAATAACATTGTCAATAAAAGTACTTTACTCATTCTTCCCATAACATTAATCTCAGGCCTCAGCCTGAGAATGAGCAAGTTCTCTTTTTATTCAGAAGTTTTGTTCATCATTGACCTTTGCCAACATATTATGCCAATTATAATAGACAAGAATGTTACATTCTCCTGGGGCGTGTTCAAGTACACACTCCTTTTCGTAGCCTTCTTATAGCAAAGACATGTAAATTCATAAACTAAATTATGATGGTCCTTAACTCTACAGAAAGAAAAAAAAACGTATGGGACAAATAGGCTTAAACACATATTTCAACTGTATCTGTGAATACAACCTTCTAATAACATTTTATAACTAGTTTTTAATAATTAAATAATGTTTACCCATGTATGGTAGACTTATAATAACAGGATATGGTGAACTAACACTTCGCTTACGTAAGTGACAAAAATCGGAAAATAATTGTTAAGTAAATAGTCTTTGATAATATTAAATTATCTATAGAAAATCTAATATGTGTTAAGTATTCTATAAGCACGATAAAACATTATTTTGACTAAATTTTCCTTAAACATGTTTGGAATAAAACTTGCAAAAGTAAAGTGCAAGCCTGTAAACGTCTTATTTTTTGTGGTACACTTCACATTTGAAGTATAATATTAAAGTATATGGTCTTCCTGATGTCCTAAGAGTAAACCTTATGCTGCTGTGTCTACTGTTCAAATGTTGAAGAAACTGGGAACCTTGATCTAAGTTCTAAAAGGCTGTAAATACGTTACGAACATACTTACGATACCGGAGAGATTAAAATATTGCAGGCAATTTTCTAACCATTGCTTTTCACAAAAAATAAATTGGCCAAATATAGTGTAATTTTCGAAACCGTTACAGCACTGTCGATCTCATCAAAAAAACTTTCCATTCAAAAGAAAGTGAGATTCTTTAATGGTGACGTTCATAAATTTAAAAGAAAATGGATATAGGAATAATAACACTGTTGAAAACATCGTTGTAAATAAGATTAACACTTAACTATAATGTTATTGTCTAAAGATATATGTGTATATAATGTTCTAAATCAAACTTTAGCTGTATTTCAAGAGATAATTATAATGTTATTGTCTAAAGATATATGTGTATATAATGTTCTAAATCAAACTTTAGCTGTATTTCAAGAGATAATTATAATGTTATTGTCTAAAGATATATGTGTATATAATGTTCTAAATCAAACTTTAGCTCTATTTCAAGAGATAATTATAATGTTATTGTCTAAAGATATATGTGTATATAATGTTCTAAATCAAACTTTAGCTGTATTTCAAGAGATAATTATCCTCTAAGATGTATTCATTGGTGGTAAACCTCTTCAGAAATTCAACTAAAAACCAGCTAAAGGATGAAAGGTTGCAATGTTAAATACTATACGTCGCAACAGAAATCCTTCTTTATTAATATCAGGTAGAGCATGTATAAACATGTTTTCTGAATGGAAGCCTTATGATCAGATCGACGGGTCTCCTGGTGGTTCAGCAGTAGTAAGCCACTGAACTAAACTTCAGGTTTTGATTCCTGAGGTGGACAAAGAAATAACAATTGTATAACTTTGTGCTTTGCAATAAAAAACAGCTCAACGGTGTTACTATGGGTTCTATATTGGCGCCATTTTTGGCCAATCTATTTTTGTGGGTTAACCGAAATATTTTAATCCTCTGTACTATCGTAGGTATGTTCATGACATATTTACCGTCTTTGAGAACTCTGATCAAGCTTCCCAATTTCTTCAATATTTGAACATAAAACATAGCAGTATAAATTTTACTGTGGAACATTAGGAAAACCACAAACGTCATCAGAAAAAACAATGTGAATAGTGCCACAAAAAGACATTTACAGGCTTGTTCTTGAATTTTGCAAGTTTTATTCTGAATGTGTTTAAGGAAAAGTTAATCAAAATACTGTTTCAATGTGCCTATAAAACATCTAGACGTATGAAGTTTTGCATAAAATATTTAATTATTGAAACCCGGGTTTTAGCGTTGTAAGCCTTCAGACTTAATGTTGAGCCACTGGAGCCAAAAATAATTTAATGATGTCAAAGAGTTTTATGTAAAAATAATTTCCCGATTTTGGTCACTGTTAGAATATTACGTAATTATTTAGATAATTGCAGTGTTGTAACACCTTGTATATTTTAAGCTGCTAAATATACAGTTGTTATCAGTCTATCATACATGGGTAAATATTCTTTAATTATTAAAAACTAGTTTGAAAGTGTCATTATAAATGTGTATCAGAATAAACAGTTGAGATGGGTGTGTTTAAACCTGTCTTCTCCGGGTTGTTGTTTTGTTTTTTAGATTTAAGTACCGAATTATTGCCTTAGAGTCATCATTTGTAGTTTACAAATTTACTTGTTTATAGTGTCAGCAATGCTATACCGGTTCTACGAAGAGAAAATTGTTTAATGCTATTGAAAGAACATGCTAACCTAAGATACCCTATTAAGTCAAGTGTACTTGAACATGTCTTAGAAGGATGTAACGCTGTTGTCTATTCTTATTTATTTAAGATCTTAGCTAGAGTCAATGATGAACAGAGCCTCTGATTAAAAAGAGGTCTTGCTCATTCACAAACCGGTTTTTATTATTACTAGCAGAGTACCCGGCGTTACTCCGATGAAAATGGCTTTAAATATATTGAGTTAAATCAACCATACTAATCATGATTTTTTTTGACAAAAAAATCAAGCCGATTTCTTTACCTAACTAACTATTTTGATCAAAATCAATGAAAATGACTTTGATAGATTGTTTAGGTAGAGTATTCATGATGAAACTTTGTAGAAAATGTCCAAAAATGATTCATGCGCATTACGCGCCAGATTGTTTGTTTGTTTGTTTTTAATTATGCACAAAGCTACACCCACCACGGGTATCGAAACCCGGTTTCTAGCGTTGTAAGTCCGCAGACATACCGCTGTGCCACTGGGGGGGGGGGGGCACGCGCCAGAAAAGACGAAGCAACATTCACACGTTGGAAACGATGATAATTGGAGAGTTCTTTATGGAGTTTTTCCCATGTTCCTTAGATGTTTGTGTATTGTTTCATAAGAGACATGCAATTTAAGGGCCATTTCACGAGTGTGTTGCCTTGGGTTAGACTCAACAACCGTCTTCAGAGCATCAATATCAACATGTCGGCCCTTACCATCACAATTTTTAAGGCTAAAGTCACCTGAACGAAATTTACTGAACCATCGTTGACACTTACGAAC